TCGTCCTGCCCGTATAACGGGTAAGTGTATTTTGTTTAGAAACACAATGTCCCGTAATTTTATTACAGGTCGAACAAACGATTATGGAACTTTTTGATCTGAATTTGGTACCGTGTCTTACTTTTCACAATAGACTCCCATCTTATTAGAATGGCAATAATGTAGGTAAATGCACACGTACCTAAACCCATTAAAAATTTTACAAACATTATATTAAAATGTTTATTGTAATTGTCACGTTACAGGATTGGATCCTGCTGGGTATCTATGGCATTCTAACAGCAACAGATTAAGTTCAAGTAATGGTCAGTACGTGGAGGCTATCCATACCGACGGTAACGCCCTAGGTATTATGAACCCAAGTGGTAACGCTGATTTCTATCCTAACGGCGGTAAACACTGGCAGCCAGGCTGTGCACTTCAGGGCAATGCATGTTCTCACGGTCGTGCGACGGAGCTTTTCGCGGCCACAGTTCGTAACAACCATTTGATCGGAAGACAATGTCCTAATATTTGGGAAGCTGAGCTTGGCACCTGCAATGGAGCTAGTTTCCATATGGGCAATAGTATTTTTACCAAACGAGGGTAAGCAAAAGATATTTCATTAAACGAAAGTTTTTCGAACACATGTCTGAAAGGTACACAAACCAAAATATGTCATAAAGATATAAAGTTCTTATTTTGGAACTTTTTACTAGTTCATACTTATCTCCTCTCTAATCATTTTAATCTGCATCAACAGTTCGGTTGGTAAAAAGAGGTTTAAATATCTCCTATGAAATGTGTTGATCTTGTCTGTGTCTGAATCTTTGACGAAATTTAAAACTCATTAACTCCTGGAAGTTTTCAAGGCCCGACTGAATAGGTTGCATATGGGATGACGTGCTCCATCGCAGACCGCATCATCGCTTTCCACCAGGCGAGATAGTGGTCAAACGTCGCCCCATCAAATATATAAAAAGCTAATTTATTTTATAATTTGCAGAAACGGTCTCTACGCCCTGAGAACTGGATCAGTATTTCCATTCTAAATTACACAATTGTACACAAGAAAAACTGGACAGTGGACAGTAGCGACACGCACAGAATTGAAATAAAAATTTACTTTTTAAATGTGATTTCTCTTTTATTTTATACATACATATATAATATTCATTTATCCGTTCCATAACTGCGAAAGAGATTTTGGGGTGCTATCACAGTTGCCAGAGGCGTCATGATTGTTTCGTCGATGATATTAGAAATTACTTAAATATTTTCGAAGAAAAAAGAAGAAACTACTTTCTTTTTTCAAAATACTACTTTCAACTTAAAAAATAAAATTAAATCTTTAATATAATAATCAAAACTACACACTAAACAACACAATACTCTTTCTACAGTTGGGTCATAATGTTAAGAGCTTAAAAACTGATTTTTTTATACTACATAAATTTATATACCTATGTGGGTGACTACAAAAATTTATTATATATAACAACTTTCTCCTGAATATAACACGACGAAAAGAAGTTAATGCAATATTAGGATTAAATTAAGGAAATTCGTTTTATACACATATAGAGAAGATAGTGCCTACCACTAATACTCACGCATCAACTAGTATTTTGTCACATTTTCCTTATTGATATTCATAATTACGTAGTAGATACTCAAAAAAACTAATTTTATGTTTGCATCCCAGCATAATATTGTCTGTATGGTGTACAGTACATGAAATCATAAATAAATAAAACAGTAATTATTGAATTTGATACTTTTTATAAGCTAATCCCACAACTTATAAAATAATTTCTATTTTTGGAACTTATTTTAGTTTATCTTTTGTTCACGGATAATTTAAAAAAAAATCGTGAAATCTAATAAGAATAAAAAGAAGCAGTAACAAATTTAAAATTACAGAGGTCGTCGCGGTCGTCGAACAGACTATACTATACTAGGGTACTGTACTAATGATATTTCGTGCAAATTATAATATTGAGTAATATTGTTTTGATAAAACATAGAAGAAAATACGTTTTTGTTTTTTAAATTAATCTACCAGGTGACATTAAAATAAAACTTGGGAAACTATACTATTAATATAGTAGTTCTTCACGCGATTAAAACTTGGTTTTTAATTAATATAAATATTACGTTTTTAGCTAGCTAAGGGTACGACGACATGGTAGATAAACTATTGTACAACATTTAGAAAAAAAAAATTACAAGTATTAAAAATTATGATTGTGTTATTAATTATTATACTTATCAAAACGATGACAATCAAACCAAAATGGTTATTGCTACATCTACACTAATAGTTTAAAGAGGAAAGATTTGATTCTTTGTTTAATTGTTTGTTTGAATGGAATCTACTCCTAATTTACCGGGCCGATTTGAAAAATTCTTTTACCATTATCGACGATGAACATAGGCTATAATTAATAAGAAAAAAAAGGAACCGTGTGAAAATTTCGATAGGTAATATAAATAAATGTGAAAATTCTATCAAAAAACTCCTTACAGTGCTTAAGCCTTTGATTGCCAAAAAAAACTGTTCAACTATCAAGAACCAATAATGGTATTTAGCTGCATCAGATTCAGTCATTATAAAGAAAAAATACTAATTCTTTTTACAGAATACATTTTAATCATGGACTAGCTTCTGCTCACGGTTTCGCTCGCGCTCTTTTAAAGTATGGTTTAAGCTGGTTTATACAAGATAAAAAAAATTGATGCCGGATGTTTCCTGGTCACATACAAACCATTTCATCACCTGTTTTAGGGAAGCTATTTTCAATCCTTTGTACTATCTACACTCATTAAAAAATCACCTCAATTTCTAACAAAACAAACAGACGTAAGTAAACAAATTTATAATATTAAGTATACCTTCTATTGTTATCTGACATGTTTTTGACAAGTGAGTTTCATGCCAATGGATTATTGGCAATTTATTTTTTTATTATCATGATAAAAAAGCAGCATGATGCAAAGAGGCTGAATACTAATTTTATTAACCACTGAACCTATTTGATTGAAATTCGGTTCAACGAGAGTTTGGGACACTGGCACTGGAAAGGAAATATCACTTTCTATTGCGAAAATAAATAACATTTCACAATAAATATAACTAAAATTATTCTGGTGAGATTTGTTTCACAACAATACAATTAACCTTGGAGAAGACTAATTAAAAAAACCAAAATTTGCCAGAAGTCATTATTATACGCCGAAGAAGTCGCGGGAAACAGCTAGTAAATTCGTAAACTTGTGAGCCATTCAGAATTGTTCCGACATTCTCACACCTAATTTTAGAAATTTTAATTCCATTTTATTTTAAATAACCTTCCTTAATCTTGTTTGGTTTTTTTTTCTTCGATGGACGGAAAAGTCGACGAAAAAAAAGGATACTATTCATACACAACGCTGTCAAAACATCAGTATCGATGTGTTTATACCTCTAAATGCGTCGAAGTAATGATAGGTTACAACATTCTTTCATGTACCTACTTCCATTAATGTATCAAAGTGATAATAATCTTATTCATTTGATTTTGTTTTGTCACGTATTGTTATTATTTTAATCATGAATATTATCTCACGTCAGTGATACCACATGTGATAATCACTATGAAATTACTACCAATCCTCAAATTGATCGAATGTCTATAAATGTTTTTTTTGTGTTCAGTTAAACCAATTTATAACCGACTTCAAAAAATGGCCTAGAGACTGCCTCATTGGCCAAGTGGTCGCAAGCACAACTGCCGGGCAAGGGGTCTCGGGTTCGATTTAAAAGTAAAGTATTACTGGGTTTTTGAAAAATGCCCGGTATATGGCAATAGGCTCACCCCCTATTACATGGGACTCATAACATAAATAGCGAAAAGTGAGTGTTACGTTGTACAGTGGCATTAACTCGTCGAGTACCGTCATTATAGACATTATAGAACAATAGGTTGCGGTCACCGGTGACCGCTTGGTGTTTGACAGTTTAAGTGCCGTAATGTGCACCTCTGCGTTCCCCTTCGGAGATAAAATGCGTGACGTTATGTATGTTCAAAAATTTGAGGTTCTCAGTTTGACCTGTATGCATTTATTTTAGTCCGCGATTATCTCGCGATTGGCTGGATTTAGATGCGGTTTTCAGAACAGAATTTGCTACACTTAGGAATAGGTGTAAGACTAAAAATTTATGAAAAGTAGGTTGATGTCGTTTTTTTTTTAAAACGCAAATGTCATGAATACTATTATTTTAAATTCAACTACATACGTTTTATGCCACTGAAATGTGTTATGGAATAGGGTGGTAAACGAACAGAGGGACAATGTGACGGCAAGTAATCGGCGCCACAGCTGAAAACGTACAACGCCAGGCTAGTTGCAAGTGAGTTGCCGACCTTTTATTTAATTGCCCCCGTCCCCAAATCCATTAGGGATTTAATATAGTTTAATAGTCTAGTACAATCAAATTTCAGAATTTAGCTAAATAGTTTAATATTATACATACCATAAATACATGGTAGTAAATACCTATAGGTGTATACATGTAGTATATACTTGAAGGAGTTAATAGAGGTGCTAATAATTAATTTAATTTTTGTTATATTTTTTCTCGATTCGATCACATCTGGCATCGACTCAGTTTCGATGAAGTTCTATTGCAGCTTAAAAATCAATAAATTGATTAATTTAGAGATAAAGACAATCTAATAAAATCTAAGATATTTGGAAATCTTGACTATTTTTTAAAATGCTTAATTGTATTAGTAACTAAGTACGTAATCATTACGTAACATAATGCCTAGACAACGAGAGAGCGAAGAAATGAAATGACATCTAATACTTATAAGATAATGTCTCATTTCGTTTGCGCATAGCTCTCATGCTAATATGGAATAAAATTAAAATTATCAATCACATATCGCAGAGGACATATTGTCATAATCAAATTAAAAATGTCTTTTGATTGTTAATGAGATAAAAACGTTTATAAAGGCAATTACGGTTTGAGGTGATTTAATTGCACTTCAAGCCATGAAGTTTTTGGTAGTGTTAGCTGCCTTGGTTGCCTGTAAGTACCTACATAATATCCTTATTTGTTGTGATAAAAATATTTTACTATTTATAACAATTTGTCATTAATAGCAAGCTAGCACTGGTAAAGTCTTTATTATTATTTTTATTTTGTTTATTAGATCTATCAACAGTCGTTTACACACACATACAAAAAAACAAAATAGATTATAGTAAACAACTCATAAACATAATTATAATTATTATAATACTAAAATCATAAACACGAACGTTCCTTTGTTTACCTGCTACATTTATTTCACAGTGAGCGCTGGAAGCGCTATCCCCTTAGTTCCCGGGGACAACAGCCACTATGTAGAGGGCGAGAGTCGCTACATCTGGATGCCAGATGGTGATGGCAAACCTCACTTAGTGGACTTACATGAACCTGCTGATGTGGAAACAATCGCAAGAAACGGCGCTAACAACCAATATTGGCTGTTCACCAGGTAAAGAAGTTGCCGAATAATAAATTGATTTCTTTTTTTAGTTTTTGTTAGGTATATGGAATAAACTATTTTAGATAGGTACTGTTTTACTTGCACGCTAATAATGTTTATGTTTTTAGGCAAAATCCTACCAATGCCCAAATTCTCGTCAACGGAAATGCAAACTCTGTCGCAAACTCCAACTATCGCGCTAACCGTGGCTTGAAAGTAATCGTTCACGGATGGAACAGCAATGGAAACTCCGCAATGAACCCTCAAATCACATCTGCATTCCTCGCTGTCCAAGATGTTAACGTAATCGTAGTTGACTGGCGTGCTCTCGCTAACTCCAACTACATAACTGCCACAAATGGTGTTCCCGGTGTTGGTCAGTTCCTGGGTAACTTCCTAGTTTGGCTCATTAATACCGCAGGTGGAAACTGGAACAACGTTCACCTGGTTGGCTTCAGTTTAGGAGCTCACGTCGTAGGAAACGCTGGTCGCCAGGCTGGCGGTCGCCCGGCCCGAGTAACAGGTAAGCATGACTGTCAAAAAGTAAATGAGTTATGTACGTACTAATCGTTGTTATGTCATAATTGGCGATTAATATCACTAATTCTATTTAAGGTTTGGACCCAGCTGGACCCAACTGGGGTGGAAACTCCAATGCACTAAATGGCAATGCTGGTCAATACGTTGAAGCGATCCACACTGATGGTGGGCTTCTCGGTATTTTCGATAGAATTGCCAACGGAGACTTCTACCCTAACGGTGGCAGAAATCCTCAGCCGGGTTGCTGGATCAGTACGTGCTCACACAGCAGGGCTCCTGAACTATTTGCATCCAGTGTCCGTACAAACCACTTCGTTGCTAGACAATGCACCAATATTCAGCAGGCTCAAAATGTCCAGTGCGCTGGCAATGCTTTCAATATGGGCAACGGAATTATTTCGAAGCGCGGGTAATTATCAGCTTTATCGTTGTCTCCCATTATCAATCTTTGACTGCATTGTGGTTACATTTCTGGCTGGTTCAATCCTCGCACAGAACTTAACTATATATGTATATTCAGTTTCACATACAATGTCATCGATATATAGGTTTATTTAGACATCTGAATTGTAAGTTCTCGTTTTAATTTACTTATTTTTATTGTTGCAGCAACGGAATATTCGGTCTACGCACAGGATCCAGCTGGCCTTTCTAATGACTTAGCGATTAAAATTATAGCAATAAAAAAATATTTATTACAATTTTTGTTTTTTATCCTGACTTTAAATCTCACACTATTCCAAAAATATGTTGCCCTCTTTACATTACTCTAACTAATAATATTAATATGAAAGAAAGAGAACTGTCTCGCCTCGGCCGCGTGGTCGCAAGTGCGAGTCGCAAATGACAGACTCACAAGTGTAGGCAATGGGTCTCGAGTTCGATTCCCGGGTCGGGCAAAATATTACTAGATTTTTTTTAAATCTCAGTAGTAGCACGGAGTCCGAAACTGTGCCCGGTGTATTGCAATAGGCTCACCCCCTATTACATGGGACTCCTAACATAAATAGTGAAAAGTGGGTGTTACATTGTATAGTGGCACTAAGTGCCGTAATGTGCACCTCTTCCTACGCCTTCGGTGATAAAAGGCGTGATGTTGTGTTTGTACGAAAGAAAGTTTGCTTTGTGACCTTTACTACTGAAACAATGATCTTGAAATTTTGCGTAGGTAGGTACGTAAAAAAACACGCTAATTGCCACAAGTCAACGTAAATAATTCACATAAGTATTCGTTAAATGCGTAGTTAGATTTGATTTATATGTATGAGGAGCCCACGACTTTGTTCGCGCAATTTCTCGTACATGTGAGATTTTGGGGAAATCTTTGTATAAAAGTAGGTACCTATCCTATGTCCGTCTCCTGGTTCTAAGCTACCTCCCCACTAATTTGTACATGGGTACTATTGTAAAATACTACACAAGTACACACTTAGATACATTTTTTATGGTCAGAACTATATTTTTGGTACCTATTGATGTAAGTTATAAATAAAGTTCCTTTACTATTCTTTGTTATTTGATTTTTTATCACAAATAATATGTAATAATATACAATACGTCAGAGATAAGGGCCTTAGTAGATAATTCAATCACTATCAAATGGCTGCCTTGCACTGATTTTAATGTTTTATCATCTAAAAGATCATATTTAATAGGTTTGTAGGTACCTGTATGGCGTTGGTGTTGAGGTCGGCCACCGGGGCGATTTTGGTGAGGTAAAAATCCCACACCTCCTAGTCTTTTATCCCCAAAAAGCTAGGCGCCTTTTGAAGGTTACCCCCGTCATCAAAAAAAAAAAGGTACCTGAATGGCATAAATATAGCAATCCATTAATTAAAGCAAATAGTATGTACGCAGTTGTAGAATGAAATATATACAACCAAAACAAGCTTTTTCCTTTTTATTGAGACAAGCCTGCCAGAACTTGCCAAAACCGCTGCAACTCCGGTAAGTCAGGATCTACAGTAAATACAACTATGAAAACACCAAAACAGTGTGTCGTGATTTCCAATAAACCTAGAAGTCTTCATTCTTTTATATTAAAAGATTTATTTTTATGGTTCTGCACTTTAATCCCCCCCCCCCCCTCTTCTTACTTGATCATCATGAATGAGTAAAGGCCTCTTCTCGCACGAAAATGGTTTAAGCACTTGAGCCCAGGTTTCCTCACGATGTTTTCCTTGACCGTTTGTCTGTGGTGCCTAGATAATCTAAGAAAGTATATATAACACAAGAAAAGCCACATTGATACTTACCGTTGATAAGTATCGAACCCGCACTCTCATGCATAAGAAACCTCCGGGCCACTACGACATTATTTTAAATTTTTCGTATTTTTATTTTCTTACAATATTAGAATAGAAAGTTAGCCGTTGAAGTTCCTCAACACACTACCTCTATAATATTTTAATTAGTATATAGGTACATTTCATTTCGTTTTCTTATAGAAAAGCTCCCTTACTTTCGGCATACTAAAAGAGGCGCGTTAGAAGGTCAAAGTCATAATCAATAAGACTGACAAAAACCATTAGGACTACTGGAATCTACTTACTGCCGCGTAAGCAGAGACGTCATGCATTCTTAAATGTTTTACAGTCGGTGGCGCTGTGGACTGGGTCGCTCCGTTCCCTACGAAATGGTTGATCGGACCGATTGCTGGTTCTCTCTCACGTCATGCTCGTGAACGGGTGCCTTCTGCTGGAGCAGGTCGACTCGCTCATCGCGCGGGTGGGCCGATCCATTAGGATTAATGTATATGTAATTAAACATGTATTGTGTATATGTAGATAGTAGACACAGCCTTCTTTGTAGAAAAATGTCGTTAATATAGCACGTAAGATTTTTGTAATAATTAACTTTGACTGTAAAATAAAAGAAAATGTAGAAATCCAATATAATAAAAAGAAACTTAGCTTATACCTATGTGCAAAATGTTTGATATCGTTCGTTGTTCGATAGTTGTCGTCACCGAGAACGATCTAAGACATAATTCTAGAAAATCAGTATGTTCATTGTTCATCCGATTAGACATTCATCAGCTCTTTTATCTAAACCAAAAATAGTCTATAAACTTCTCCAGTTCTACCTTTGCAGTTTCCACCCGTCCACATTTCAATGCAACCCTCTATTTGTGTCATGATTTTTATCCCTTTTTATTATCTTCTGAAACCTGTAACTCTCAAACTTCCTTTAACAAATTTCATTTTTCATTATTTCTCATCGTCAGAATTAATAATACATTTAGTCAGAATAATATTAAATAATAAAATCAATCACTTCATGTCACTTATCTCAGTCAAGAATTGCCATAATCTTGCTTAATGAAAAATTAACATGTAGGTAAACGTATTCTTGATACTGTAATGAGATAAAATCATGAAACGTATATAAAGAGAACTTCCTTTTCGGCTGATTTAATCACATTCGAGCCATGAAGTTTTTAGTAGCGTTAGCAACCCTGATAGCATGTAAGTACTCACATGTTGTATAAAATAAGTGAAACATTGACAAAAATAAGATCTAATTCAGCTTTACTAATGCTGAAATACTTCAACGCCACCCAATTTTAAGCCACGCTTTTAAGTATAGTTCTGTCTAGTGTGCAGGAGTAGCTGCATATCAAACCGAAGCCCCGGTACCGCGTTAAGCCCTCCGCGGCTCTCTTTTCTTTTTCCTTTTCTGATTTTTTATCTCGTATTCTTCACAGTAAGCGCTGGAAGCGCTATCCCTTTGGTTCCCGGGGACAACAGCCACTATGTGGAGGGCGAAAGTCGCTACATCTGGATGCCGGATGGTGAAGGCAAACCTCACTTAGTAGACTTACATGAACCTGCTGACGAGGGAACAATCGCAAGAAACGGCGCTAACAATCAATATTGGCTGTACACTAGGTAAATAATTCCCGTTATTATATTACTCTTAAATTATCGTATTATTAAAAAAAAAGAAACAATTCCATGCGTGAAATAATGGTTTGGATTCTCATCCGAAAAGGGATATAATTTTTCGACTTTCACCAATTATTTAAATGAACATTTGCTATTTTTATTTACCTTAAAGGTCTCACGAGTCTTAAATCTGCAACCCGCCATTTTTAGAGTATATAATTATTTGGGTGTTCGTATACGTTCAACAATAGAAATCTTCCAGAAGATAGTAGTAACATTCAACTGATACTTTGTTATTTTTCATTAATTACAGAGAAAACCCCAGCAACGCTCAAATAGTCGTCCATGGGAATGTAAATTCTATCTCCAGCTCTAATTATCGTGCCAATCGTGGTTTAAAAGTAATCGTTCATGGATGGAACAGCAACGGAAATACCGCAATGAATCCCCTCATTACATCAGCGTTCCTCGCAGTGCAAGATGTGAACGTTATCGTAGTTGACTGGCAATCTCTCGCTAATTCCAACTACTTAACTGCGAGTAACGGTGTTCCAGGCGTCGGTCAATTCCTCGGCAACTTTTTGGTTTGGCTCATCAGTACTGCAGGTGGAGACTGGAACAATGTTCACTTGGTCGGCTTCAGTTTAGGAGCTCACGTCGTAGGAAACGCTGGTCGTCAGGCTAGCGGTCGTCCAGCACGAGTCACAGGTAACTTTTGCAATAGCATTGTAGTGTATTTGATCATTTGTCTAAATATGGATCATCTTCGCTAATATTACAATGACTAAAGATTTTGTTTACCAAAAAAACTACTAAAAATCTACCAAGTATTGCTTACGAAAGTAATGTACCTACTATAATCTCGTTGCCCTAGGATGACTGCCTCGTTGCCCAAGTGGTCGCAAGTGCGACTGCCGGGTAAGGGGTCTCGGGTTTGATTCCCGGGTCAGACAAAGTATTACTGGGTATTAAAAAATTCTCAGTATAGCATTAGGCTCACCCCCTGTTACATGGGACTCATAACATAAATTGTGAAAAGTGGGTGTTACATTGTACAGTGGCATAATGTACACCTCTGCCTACCCCTTCGGGGATAAAAGGCGTGATGTTATGTTATGTATGTACTATAATCTTATTGAGAACATTAATATCAACGTAAAATTTCCCGACATCTTGTGTCTAACTATTACAATTCTGCCGAAATAATGTTTATCCCGAAAATTGTAAGAAAACGTGAACTATGCGATATAGTCCTTGGACTATCTTTTAAACCACGGTAATTATTTGATTAAAATTCTGTACAACAATGGTTTACGACCCGGGAAAAGACTTCGAATGGTTTTTATTAATTAATATTGAGATTCTGATGACATTTGTTACAGCAAAGCCCTAGAGTATGCCTTAGAAAAAACTAATTCATGAACCCAAATTCAGCCTGAAATCATTATTCTACTCGGACGAAATGAACAGCTAGTTTACAATAAATACCGAAACTAGATCTAAATTCATAATTCGATTACTAGGCCACTAAAACCTTAATAAAAATAGTTTTAATCACAGTAACATAACATTGTTATATAGAATGTTATTTAAGTACATACCTACAGACAATAAAAATAAATTGGTGTTCATTGAATGAAGACTAATTCCGCCCAGCTCCAGACCAGAGACAGTGTATAGCTATTGTTTTTTAACAATTTTTTATAACCTGTTTCAATTTTGTATTGTTGCTAATTTGCACATTTAATTTAATTGTTTCTTATCAATCTTTAGTTAGGCTTCTTTCAGCATATCAAATTATTATACTGTCTATACGTAAGTAAACATACGTGTAAATTTTATGATTTTAGGTTTGGACCCCGCTGGACCCCTATGGGGTGGAAATTCTCTCGCTCTGAACGGCAATGCTGGTCAGTATGTTGAAGCGATCCACACTGACGGCGGTCTTCTCGGTATATTTGACCGCATTGCTCACGGAGATTTCTATCCCAATGGTGGTAGAAATCCTCAGCCTGGTTGCTGGATCAGTACGTGTTCACATGGCAGAGCTCCTGAACTCTTTGCATCCAGTGTTCGCACAAACCACTTCGTGGCCAGACAATGCAGTAATACACAACAAGCAGAGAATAACCAGTGCACTGGCGACTCCTTTAATATGGGCAATGGCATTATTTCTAAACGCGGGTAAATATTGCTTTTATCACATTTTACATACTTTTTCTCTAGAAGAGAAGATAATTTATAGCTATATCAGCAGAATTTTTAATGCAATTAATTTGTTACTGATAGTGATTCAGCAATAATCATTATTATTATTATGAATTGGTGGCCCGTCCTAAAAAGTTGATTGAAAAAAATATACCTATATTATTTTTAATAAACTTTCTTTTACCTCTATATAAAAGTTTATATGACAGATACCTCTAATCAGAAATAGAATACACCATTTCTCCATCCCTATAACTTTGATCATGAAGTCAACTGGTTGGAAACTTAAATTTTTTTTGTCTCTTCCTGGCAATAATGAATATGACGAAAAAGAAATTGCTATTGGATTCATTTAATACATTTTATATTCTTTTGTTACAGCAATGGAATATTCGGTCTTCGCACAGGCTCCAACTGGCCTTTTTAATAAACTTGCTGTCAAAATAAAGATCTTTTGAAAAGGTGATTTCTTTTATTTTAGCACATAGCTACATCTACATTTATATAATATAATATAATAATAGTACAAAGAGGAAAGATTAGATTTTTTGTTTGTTTGAATGGAATCGGGCCGATTTGAAAAATTCTTTTACCGTTGGTATCCTACATTATCAGCGATGAACATATGCTATAATTAATAAGAGAGAAAAAAGGGAACCCTCTGAAAATTTCAATCATGTAATCTGATGTGTTTGAACCGTTTGACTGCCAAAAGAAAACTGTTTTCAAGGACTAATAATAGTATTTAGCTCATAGATTTGTGTGTCCAATCAACCTACACTACACATATTAAATGATGATATTATAATATAGCATCAAATCAGATTGCACTATACATATATATTGTATTGATTTAACTATCTACAGATAGCAATTGGACATGTACAGGGGATATCATTAGTATGATCCCCTATGTACAAGTGTATTGCTATCATCACTTTTCATTGAAAGATATCTAAAAAATTCACCTACCGTGTAAACAATCACTCATTTCTTTTATTTTTCTATCATAATTATCTAGACATGTATCATTTTTATCTTCGCTAAATGCAGTTATCATAAATACCTGATTAATGATAGTTCAACAATATTTTAGAGTTCAAAAATTGGTATCTAATTATTCGAATCAAACTACTAAGTAGATATATATTCAAATGGTAAAATATGAAATACGAACCAGTTTTGCGTATTGTAATTTTAATAAGCTTATATGTAACTTTCAAGGTATGTATGTAACATATGTGTGTGGTAGGGTATTTATGCAGCAGTTATGGTTGCAAGATAATTCTTCACAAGTATCGCTACATAGCATAAAACAAAGTCGCTATCCGCCGTCAGTCTGTCCCTATGTATGCTTAGATCTTTAAAACTACGCAACGGATTTTGATGCAGTTTATGATGATGTTTATGCAGATAGAGTGATTCTTAAGGAAGATTTATATGTATAATACATGCATATTGCGCCCGTGCGAAGCCGCGGCGGGTCGCTAGTAAAAAATAAATTAAAGTTATCATTTTATTTTTATGGAACAGGAGGGAAACGAGCCGATTGACGGACGAGTATTGTGTTGGAAAAATGGTTTTTATTATTATTTCATATTTAATTTCCTCTTTCAAACCTTGCTATAACTTTCACAAATATTAAAAGATCAAAATTAGCAAAATAGATCCAGACATTTTGGAGCTTTACTGTCATTAACTAACAGCCATTGGTATAACCCTAATAAAGAAATTAGGTACGTACCTACCAACTTAAAATACAATTATTTGTATAGTGGAGTTAATATTATATAAACGAATGTGCAATTTATTAACGCTGTAACAATATTTTAACGACGGTTTTCTTTTACCGTAACCAATTACCTACTTATCTGTAATCTATATCTTTTATAATGTTTAGTGCTTTATACGAGAAGAAGATTCTAACAAGTTTTGAATATCTTGATAAATAATATTTTAGGAAACAAACAACCTACTTCAATTGAAGACTCTTCCTTGAAATAAATTTCAAAGTCAGGGTAAATCTATCTGTACGGAATCCTATTACATACACACTAATTTATCAACTAAAGTTATTATCATTCAAATATAATTATAAGTAAAAATATGGAATTAAGATAAACAGACAACTATAAATACTTATTTACATGCATGTAGATTATTGTAGTTGGAAACTATAACCATGAAGTTATTGATAGTATTGGCCACTATTACTGCGTGTAAGTAATTGTATTACCTCTACCTATATGATTTACTACCTTTCTGCCGCAATCTTCGCCCGTGATACGTATACTCAACTTTGCCTGTTAATTTACGAAAAATTTTCGTTCCGCTTTTAGATTAAACTTTATAGCGTTAAATCTTAAATCTTATATCATATTATTTTAATTATAATTCAATATTTGGATCAATATAGAGAAGCAGGGAAGAGAGTAATTACACCACGTGTGACATAAATGAGTTGCCATTATCTAAATAGGTCCTATATTATAATATCTGTCACTCACTGTATAGAAGAATTTTACTATAAATCCCAATTTTTCTCTTGATGTTGAGGCGTCAGACGCAATAATTTTCATGTTCAACGCCCACTATTTTACATTAAAGTGTGAAACCTACAAAAAGGTTTTCTTAACAGATGTATCACGTGTTACGTGAAATACTAGCATTAGTAACATCTTTTTTTTATTCTTTTTTTTTTGAAACGTTGCCCCACATTATGATTTTCTCCTGAGTCGTGGGTGCGTTTACATACATACAAGTTCACATACACAATGACATCCAGACCCGAAACAACAATTTGTGGATCACACACAGTGTTGTTCCGTGTGGAAATCAAACCCGCGACACGTTGCACGGCAGCCGGTTGCCCAGCCACCGCACCAACCGTGCAGTCAATATCAAAATTATAATTTGTGATTTTCAGTATGCGCTGGTAGCGCCATTCCTGTCGTGCCAGGAGATAACAGTCACTATGTGGAGGGTGAGAGTCGCTACATCTGGATGCCGGATGGTGAAGGTAAACCTCACTTAGTAGACTTGCATGAACCTGCTGATGAGAGAGCAATTGCAAGAAACGGCGCTAACAACCAATATTGGCTGTTTACGAGGTAAATTGATATTATTTATTTTATGAGGATGTTCTTGGTAGCGACCTTATCAAATGTTAAATTGTAATGTACCTTCTTCATGCAGACAAAATCCAAATAATGCCCAAGTCATCGTAAACGGCAATGCAAACTCAATACGAAACTCCAACTACCGCGCAAATCGTGGCTTGAAGGTGATTGTTCATGGATGGAACAGCAACGGAAACTCTCAAATGAATCCCCTCATTACATCAGCGTTCCTCGCGGTGCAAGATGTAAACGTTATCGTAGTTGACTGGCGATCTCTCGCTAATTCCAACTACATAACTGCTAGTAATGGCGTTCCTGGAATTGGACAGCATCTTGGCAACTTCTTAGTTTGGCTTATCAATACTGGCGGTGGAAACTGGAACAACGTTCACTTGGTCGGCTTCAGTTTAGGAGCTCATGTCGTAGGAAATGCTGGGCGCCAGGCTGGCGGTCGTCCAGCTCGTGTTACAGGTAAAAAATATTAATACTTTAAATAAACATTAAAAAAGCAATAAATATGTATCATTTTAGTTGTCAATAAAAATAATTACAACCACCTAATTATATACCTAACATATACTAAAATAGACACATTTACATTCTAGGTTTGGACCCAGCTGGACCCGGATGGGGTGGCAACTCTAATGCTCTAAACAGAAATGCTGGTCAATATGTCGAAGCTATTCACACTGATGGTGGTCGCCTTGGCATCTTTGATCGGATTGCTGACGGTGACTTTTACCCCAATGGTGGTAGGAATCCACAACCAGGCTGCTCGAATAGTGATTGCTCCCATGGTAGAGCTCCTGACCTATTCGCTTCTAGTGTCCGAACCAATCACTTTGTTGGCAGACAATGCTCCAATATCCAACAAGCTCAAAACAATCAGTGCTCCGGCAGTGCTCTAAATATGGGCAACGGAGTTATTTCAAAACGAGGGTAAGACTGATTTTTACATTGCTAAATTTAGATACCAACAAATATCTGGCTTGTGTGCTTTTTTTTTCATCTTTTCATTACATTATGGATTGATTAATATTATTTTAACTTTGCTTATTCTCACCCTGCAATCACTAGGGCGGTGTTATAGCCCCATGGCGATGGTGATGATCTGTGCGTTAAATACTTATTAAGATACCTTACCTGCTTAACATGATAAGAAAAATCGAACAAAAATAATGTGATTAGGTATTACCTACTCGTATTATCGAATTATTGATAGCGAAGTATAACGTCACGAAATCTACATGACATGTCCTTGCAATTTAGATTGATTACAAAATGACTATTTTGTTTTTAAGTAAACAAAATCCTATCTATCTCATAATATACGAGTAACTTCTTTATATGTTCTGTGGTAATAATCATCAGAAAATGAACTACTCAGTTGGCAAAATTATCGAGCAACCAGCTGATGTGTCTTGGCTTTGGATGGTCTTACGAGTTTGATTCCCCCACAGAACTACCTTTTGTTTTGTGATCCAAAAATTATATTTTTGTTTTGTGTTTGGGTTTTATGTGAAACTTTTATTTTTAAATTCACCCACAGTACAAATATGATAACATGATAATTACGCATTTTCCCTAACTCTATATTTATTTTTCATTACAGAAATGGAATCTTTGGACTGCGCACTGGATCCAGCTGGCCTTTCTAATTATTTTAAAGGATGATGAATGCTACAGCTTTCACAATACTAGTTACTACTGTTACTACAAATTGTTAATTTGGTTTTCTAATAAATTATAATAACATTATCATACCTAATTAAAAATTAAATACCGACATTTTTAACTCCTGCCCTATATTTTACCCAAGGCGTGACTAGATGGGGCCACGATAGGTATATGGCTACTGGATAGTTACGCCCGCAATCCCAACAGAACTAACTTAGTCCCTGTGGGTTCACACGCGTTGAATTTAGGTTTTTACTTATCATGTCCTCATCCTGTAAAAAACCAGATAAAAAATATTTTGATACAGTTAAAAATAATATTTTGGTACAATTTAAAGTTCACCCCATTAAAACAAAAATTAAATCTAAGAACATAATTTGTGCTCGTCAGTCTTGTGACTAATATGACAAAGGTTTTTTTATGCTCGTGAGTCACCACAATATGTATATCAAAATATTACTATTAACTTGATACATGTTCTAAATGATGAAACTAGGCACTACCTACTTATCTAGTTTTATGGGAATCAGTCCCGGATTTTGAAAGTAAATGAATTGTAAGTATCATTGCATTGAAAGTTTCACTTCAGCGCATTTGTAAAAGTTTCGAAAACAAAATTTTGTTAGCTGGTGGGGTCGCCACGACATCATAATATGGTTTTTAACGATTATCTTACCTAATATTTAAATTATACGTTCTTAAAGTAATAATGATTCTTTTTTCTTAAATTGCCTACCGTTTTAATGTATGTATGCTAATAATGAAAAAGTATAGTGACTTCTTGGCATCAACTTTTATCCCCAAAAAAAATAACTATCAAAAACAAACTAATAAAAATTATGCCTATTCTGCACAAAAAATACGTGTCGATTTGAGAAGTTTTTCGATTCAATGACATTCGGGTTAATTTATCAACGATTAAGATAGATAGGTAATGACGTACTCAATCATAAATCAAAGTAGATTCCTAATCATTTGACACAACAGGAAAGATCAAATACATAAATAATGATATCTTTTGTAGCAATTTATTAGTTTTTAGCACTTCATATGATAATAAAGTAAAATATAATAGGGCGGAAAATAAGGAAACGAATCACCTAATGGCAAGCAAGTAATCAGCGTCGTCGCTCACCAGGCAAGGCACGGACAAGTGTTACAAAAGAGTTACCCGCCATTTGGGGAGGGCCGAGGTATTATATATACCTCCGGATACTTCATGCATATGGTGAAATACAACGCAAGCGTTGTTTCACTGTTTATTATTTGTTATATCCATTTACTGGGTACTCTACTGACTATGAAATAAAATTTAAGAATCGGAATTATACACTACTAATAATTGTTATGTCATCATGAAACTTCACATTTTTTTGTGGATTAGATGACCATACAATATTATGGTATTATCAAGCTGATTTTATGATGAAATCGGAAGGTGGCTGATGAAATGTTCCAGTAAAAATATCTGATTTGGGCTCATTAGATATTATGTCAATTTCTCTCAGGTTTTATCTATACACGTTTTTAAAGGGTTTTTCAGGCCATCTAGATACTTTGATTTATGATCGAGTACAGGTAGTACTTGCAGTTTGTAAGTCTTACAGTTAATTGTAAAAAAAAATGTAAAAAATCTGTCTACATGGTTTTTAAATCGGATCACAAGAATCCGCCTATTCAGCCGATTGTCTTGAACGGTCTCTCCTTAAATAGAGTAACTCAATTTAAATATCTCTGGAATTGGGTTACCGATGATTTCAAAGATGATGTCGACATGGAGAGGGAACGCAGAGCATTGTCAGTTCGGCCGAATATGTTGGCACGCAGATTCTCTCTTTGTACAGACGCAGTAAAAATAACATTGTTCAAGACACAGAACATATAAAGGAGGCCTAAGCCTTCTTTATATGTTCTGTGGTTCAAGGCGTATTGCACCTCACTGTACACGGGAAGTCTGTGGGTCAACTACACCCAGAGAGCGTACATTGCTCTACGGATCCAGTATAATAATGCGTTCAGGGCACTGTTGCGGCTTCCACGTTTCTGTAGTGCGTCAGCAATGTTTTCTGATGCTTATATTGATGGATTTGCTGCGTTATGGCGCAAAAAGACTGCATCGTTCATCAGTCGCCTGCGTGGAAGTCGCCACGGTATCCTGATTGCTATAGCCGGTAGACATGACTGTCCATTGATGTGGAAATTAGTGCAGCGGACTAAGTCCCTGTTTACTATTGCTTATTAATATTGTACCTAAATAGTTATATAGTTATGTATGATTGTGTTCTTCCTTTACTATTAGTTTGATGGATCTCAGTTATCTGAATAAATAAATCAATTATATAATTATAATTACTATAATATAATTATAAATTATAAACAGGATTTTTTCTTTTGAAAAGAGAATTATTATTTTTACAGAAAAACACCTGTGGCTTTTATCTAATCATAGAAACAATCTAATCATTAAATCCATACACATGGAAGTTCAAATCACTTTACAAAAAAAAACTTATTTGTTCATATAATATCTATACAAATACCTACGATAATTAACAATTATGAATGAATGAAAACCCAGGTTTTTTATCTACGGGATTTTCCAAATAGATTAGTTGTATGTTATCTTAAAATCAAAATTGTAATAAATCAGACCATACAATCAGACCACAAAACGTTTTGACTTTATCAAATACACAATCAGCTCATTTGAAAACAAAACCTATGAAATATTATCATTTTTCAAATATTATATTATCAACATTTCAGGTCTGTAATTATTCGTGGAGGTAAACGAAGATAACTTAAAGTACCAACCATGCAAATAAAATAAAGAGTCGATCCTGAACCAGTAGACCTAAAATCAGTAAATAGTGTTCGTTCCAGGTTGGACACAAAATATTTATCGAATACTAAGTAACTAGGTAATGTTTCAACACTTCAAACTTTATTTTTAACATTGGATGGAATTGGATGGAATTAATTACATAAGTACCATAGTGCAACCCATACTAAATTCAACAAAACTCTAACACCATTCCTGTGGTGTTAGGGTTTCTTGACGTCATTTCAATTCCACCACAACACCAATTTTCAGTTCCTTCAATCAGATTCTACAAATCATCGAGAAATAGATTTTTTAGTGAAATATTTTTTTTTGTAAAAATACCCAAACACGATGAAATTGTGACAATTTATGACAGTGCTCCCGTGACCGCTTTTCTGATTTTCCATTAGACCTTGGACATCCACTTAGGTCCAGTGGCCTTTTCAACGCGAATCAAACAAGGCTAAATACGATTGCAATTTTTATCGCAGCTATTGCTTTCCGTCTTCATTATCAGATTAGTTGGGTATTTATCTATTAAATACAATATGTGACAAACAGGTCAATCAATCACTGAATTGGAAGTTTGTCATATGCAAGTAAACAAAAGCTTGTTAAAGTCAATCAATGTCAAGTCAATTTTATACGTGTAAGTAAAATACAAAATTGTAAATTAGCTGAACGACTTTAGTATTTTCTATCTGACTAAGTACTTACTCTGGGAATAAACACACCAAAACAGTCAATCACGGTTAGGTACCAAGTCTCTTTCTTATAAAAATGCAACATATTAACAAATATCCACTGTTTATTTCTCAAAAGAATAGGCAAAAAATCGAATATAACTTACACTTTTCGCCAGAATTTAATGATATTAATAACTTTTATGTATTGAGCATATTTTCATTCTTGACTTTACACAAGCTTTTAACAATGATACCTATTGCTACGGAAATACCGATCGATGACAATATTGTAATGACTAATATACGAAGTCTGGAAATTTTATAATAATTAATCATAGGCTTGTTTACATATGAATAAACCACCTAAATTAAGATAAAACTAGAAAATTTGATACTGTTTCAACATTCGATAAAACCTAATGATTTGATCATTTATCACGATAAACTCGGTTTCATCATATATAACACGTAGAACCAAAAACTAATTACTTCATAGTTATTCCACTAGTTGATAGTGCCACTCTTGAGCATAATGAAGACCTTGTTGCTGTTATCCATCGCTATAGCAGGTAATTTAGTATAGGTGATTCGAATACTCTACGTAGTACATAATAAACTACGTGTTAAAATCATATATATTTTACGGTTCATCGTTTTTAGTATAGTCAGTCTTAGTACACAGTATTAGTTTACTAACATTACTAGTACTAGTCTTCTAGCAGTAAGTCTACTACAAGTCGTAGACTGTTCACTTTACTAGTAAAAGAAACTGATCTACATTATATTATGGTTTTCGTATTCATTTAGAAGGCTGTAGAAACAGCCAAAATGTAAACGGTCAATTTACACCCTAATTAAAGCAGTAAGCACATAGCACTAACACGATTTTTCTTACTATTTTAGTTTGTGCTGCAAGCGTCCTCAAAGACCCGGTACAGGGTTACAAGGAAGGTAGCAGGTACTTCTATTTTCCGGGAGATGGCGATAACACCATTCACCTTGTCGATGCTGAAGAGCCCGCAGACTTTGCATTTATTGAAAAATTTACTAGAAATCCAGGCAATAACGGATACTGGCTCTTTACTAGGTAAACATATCCTAACAAATATAAATCGTCTCTTGACTTTAGCAAAATCAAACATGAGTCGTAATTAATTAATGTAATTTAAAAAAAATGTTTTTTCAGAGCCAATCCTACGGTAGCTCAAGTCATTGGGTTTGGTGATATTGATTCTGTATTAAATTCAAATATGGATTTTTCAAAAGAGTCCGTATTTCTGGCGCATGGATGGAATGGTAATGGTGGAAACGATATGAATAAAGTCTTGACTGAAGGTTCGTTAGTAATATGTTTTATATTAACTATCGTGAGACATACATACTAAATTAACTAAGAATCGCAAAGTAGGATGCGCGACATCGCCGCGACTGCGCACACTGTTCATGAGGAAGAACCCCTCCGTGGTTTGAAACTAGTAGAGCTTTTCTCAGTCTATTTACATGAGTAACCTACAATTTTTAGTTAATTCGTTAGTAATAGTTACTATGATATGCTTTTTTTTGTTTATATTTACCTTGAAACAAAAATATCTTACCTACAGCGTTTCTGAATATTTTAGAGTTCAAATAAAATTGTAAAAAATAAAGTAAAGTAGGTATATAATATTTATAGTAAAGAATAAATTAATTTATTTTTACAGCATTCCTCGAGAATGGGGATGTAAATGTCGTAGTTCTCGACTGGAGTACATTAGCCAACAGAGGTTACACTACAGCAAAAAGTGGAACTGCTGCAGTTGGTCAAGGACTCGGTCAATTCGTAAACTGGCTCGTTTCATTGGGAATGTCATACGAAAAAGTACATTTAGTCGGTTTCAGCCTGGGTGGTCATCTTGTAGGAAATGCTGGTAGAGAAACGGAAGGAAAAGTCAAGAGAATTACAGGTAAAGCACAAACATGTTAAATTTTATTAGTTTACACACCATTATATTAGTACGTTTTAAATAAGAAACAATTTTAATATTGATTTTGTTTCAGCTCTGGACCCCGCTGGACCACTATGGGGCAGTGACAATAACCGTGTAGTAGCTACAGACGCTCAATACGTTGAAGTAATTCATACTAACACCGGTCTATTGGGATTTACTGACCCGTGTGGAGACGCAGATTTTTATCCTAACGGAGGATCTGGAATGCCAGGCTGTTGGTTAAACTCATGTTCTCATGGTCGTGCCTTCGAATATATGGCTAGTTCTGTGAAGTATAATCACCTTCTCGCTAATGAATGCGACAGCCTACGTGATGCTACACGCAACAGATGTTCAGGAGACCTTAATCCTATGGGTAACGCGGATCTGTCAAAGTCAAAGTAAGGAAATATTATACATAGTTGTATGACTCAATAAGATTAGATTACACTATTTTACATAAGTATTGCATAACCCACTATGTTTAATACTATGTATATTTTAAAAAGTACTTGCTTACAAAATCTAGAATAGGTATTTTATATCTGATACTAATAGGTTAGCTCACATATGACTGCCAAACATGGAGCTTAATGGAGAATACGGCTAGAAAAATTGCTATCAAGAGCGATGGAAAGAATTATGACGAACATTAAAGTAATAGGTTATTAAATGGTTTTATTCATGAATTTTATTTTTGTTTCAGAGCGGGTATATTCAGAGTGAACACAGAGAGAAAATATCCGTACTGAATTGTTCTGTTAAAACTGTCATCAACTGTTTTGAATAACTGTAGTATCTAATTATAACAATAAAATACTTAGCATTTTATTATTTATTTGTTTTATTTCTTTTTCTAGTGGATATTTTGTTGAATCAATGTCATGCTAGATAAAGCTTGGGCAAATAAGACTAGTCTCATTAATTCGTTATAGTGTTTTAATATAATAATAATCTTCCATGCCGGTTTCGGATACGGCGACCGTTTCATGACTACTGGCGTCTATGATGGGCTCTCATGTGGCTGGAAAATCCAACCTATGTTTATTTTTCCACAGAGTGGACACGTGAGAACACCATAAACATTTTGTATTTATTATATGTATATTTTTTATACAATATGTATTATTACTATTAGTTATTTATTTTGTTTTTTTTTTATTTGTCATATTACACAAGCCTATTTTCGCTGACTCTATATTTAACACAAAGGTTGACTGATAGAAAATGCTATATGTCATTAAGTCCGCCTTATGTATCTTATTTTGTGTGCATTAAAGCATTAATAAATAAAAAAATAAACATAATTATATTGAATTGCCGCTGGTGGTCGGGCTTTTATTTCATCACGTTTAGTATCTAGCTTTGCAAGCCGACGAATCTCAAAGTCTGATATTTTTGTCGCACCTGTGATCTCCACTATCCACGGTTCAATGCAGGCTCTTCCCACCGAGATGAATCTACGTCACACGCCTGATAGACGTGCCACGTGGTGTCACTTAAGCACATCCTTAAATCTTACGAGTTGTCCGCCATGCTTTCGCTTGCCCTCTTGAAGCTCTGAATAAAGGATGCGCTTCGCCACTCTCTGCTCTGACATGCGTGCCACATCAGCGAAGTTGTCTTCTCATGAGGTACGACTCAATGCCTCCCACATTGGCCCGTCTCAATACTTCCGTATTGCACATCCGATCATACTAATTAATGTTTAAGATTGTACGACAGCATTTAATATGAAATCGATCCAATTGTTGAATGTGATGTCCATGTCGCGGCAGAGTATAGAATATTGGGAAGAACGACGGCTATATATACTGATATTTTTGTGGCAAGCTTAAGTCGTGTGAGCAGAAGATCCTGGCATTTGTAAATTAATTAAAACGAAAGCTGCAGCAGCAGCACTAATTCTGCTGTTGATTTCGGCGTCAATATGCACACTTTGATGTTAACGTGCTCCCCAGATATCGAAACCTATCAACCTGCTTTAGTAAGTCCTCACCGAGCCACGTTCAACATCTCACGAACATCCAGAAACATTTATAACTGCCATCTGTTCGGAAACGTAACCGGACACCCCCCAATAACAGAGCTGGGACCTCGCGAATGACCACTACAAAATAAAGAGCGAACAGCTTGGGGGCCAAAACGCAACCCTGCTTTCACCCCACACGTAACAGAGAAGAACTCCGACTGCTCATTTTCTGCCACCACACAGCACTTCACGCATCATGCAAGAGGCGAATAAGCCTTACAAACTTATCCGTACATCCCTGTTTTCGCAGTACCACCCAGAGGGCCTTACGAGAGACCCTATCAAACGCCTTTCCCAGATCGACAAAGCAGAGGTACACGTGCTTACTTTGCTCTCTACTCTTCTTCTGCAGCTATCGTACAGCAAAAATTGCCTCGCAGGTACCCCTATCTGGGCGAAACCCAAACTGCGTTTTGGAAAGATCTTTTCAGATAGTTTTCTTAAACGGTTAAGCAACACTCTTGCAAAAACCTTCGCGGGGACCGACAGTAGTGAAATGCCACAATAAGAATTACAATCCGCACGGTCTCCCTTGTTCTTATAGAGGGCCTTAATACTCGAGAGTTAAATGATTCAGAAACTTGTTCCTTCTCCCACATGCGGACAAATAATTTCCAGACCAGCTACTGCAACTTAACATCACCGCATTTTAGCCGCTCACCTGGTATAAGGTCTAAGCCAACGGCATGTTTATTTTGCTGTTCTTTTATCGCACGCACAACTTGGCTCAGAGACCGTCTAGTCCTTTTTCAGTTTGGAGTTGAGGCAGCTTATCAATGTAAGACATGTCTACAGTTCGTTCCACGTATTTTTTATAGTGTGTTTATGATCCCATCAAGTGACCACGGGGCTCTGAAGTTTTGCATGGTGTTTGATTTTGTTTATTACACGTTGAACTGCTCAACTAGTAGATCTTAATTATCTCTAAAATAAAGATATTATACAAAATAAATTTCCTTTTTACCTTTTATCGCTGTATTTTATAATTCGAAAACAAAGTAAAAAATACACGAATTAGATTTATAATAATAATCGTCAATTCGCCTGTGCTTAAAATTTAATAATAGGGATTTTGTAACAACATAACATGTATTAATTTTTTATCATTACGAGTAATACCAATATCTCGTATTCAAATCTGGGGAAATACTATATATAAGGAGTATTGGATAATTAACAGACTAGAAAGTGGTACTCCCAAGCGCTATGAAGTACTTGTTGCTGCTCTTTTTCGCCATTTCGGGTAACAACAGTTTAATATTTCGTATAATTTTTCTCCTAACTTTCAATATAAATACCTGTTTTGCACTTCACGGTTTGCAATAAGCCGGTAAATTAGCAGACAGATGACCTGATGGTAAGCAATCGGCGTCGCCCATAGACACCCGAAACACCAGGGGCGTTACAAGTGCGTTACCATCCTATTGGGAATTGGCAATTTGAGGATTGTGGGGAATTCAAGAAGTGGGGAGACCAGAGAGGGGGATTAATTAGGCCTCCGATAACCTCACTCACACGATGAAACGCAACACAAGCGTTGTATCACGTTTGTTTCCTGTGAGGTTAATGACTGTGATCACTCCGGTCGAGCCGGCCCATTCGTGCCGAAGCATGGCTCTCCCACACTTAATTATAATAATTGTACACTCACGGCTGATGTTAATAACTAAACCAGATCCAAAGATTTTAAATTATATTGTATATGAAGTTTTTGTTAAAAATATAGATCGATGCAGAAATTTTGGATCAAGATCGTTTCTTATCTTCGGCCGCTAGTACTAAGTTGAAATAACAATTTAGCAGTTTCGTTTAGAGCTAGTACGGTGTGGTTGTGGCACAAAATATTTACCTAAGTCTATCTGAGAGGGTCCTTAAAAGTATTTTTATTTTCAGCATGCACTGCAGGCGTCCTTAAAGACCCCGTTCAGGGTTACAAGGAAGGTGACAGATACTTCTATGTCCCGGGAGATGACGGCAATCTTCACCTTGTCGATGCGGAGGAACCAGTTGATGTAGAATTCATTAAAGAATACACTAGAAACTCTGCTAACAACGCATATTGGCTGTTTACAAGGTATAAAGGAAAATTATATATTTAGGTGTTTATGATTTCGTTATACGTGAAACAGGAATTAAGATTTTTTTGTGAAAAACACAAACGAACCGTTGGACTACTGTATAAGTGTACAGTGTATAGAAACGAAAATGTAAATATAGTTTAATTGTATTAAATACTGCTTCAACTAACAAAAATATGAATCTACCAAAACCAAGGGAAATCTAAAATATGCAATACTTTGCATATTTCAAGTTTAATACAATAAATCTTTAAAATATATCCCATATTTATCTAATTTTCAGGTCTAATCCTAATTCACGTCAAGTCCTAGTGCAGGGAAATGCAGCTTCAGTGACAAATTCAAACTTTCACTTCGGAAAAATCACAGTATTTCTCGCTCATGGCTTGAATGGAGATGGTGGAAACGAAATGAATACAAAGCTTAAAGATGGTAACCATAAATTCTAAGAAAGATTCTGTGATACCTCCGATTCGGAATGAATAAAATAGTAATTTAACCCACTTTTTATTTCAGCTTTTTTACAAAATGCTGATGTCAACGTTATTGTTCTCGATTGGAATCGGTTGGCGAACCAGATTTATACCACAGCGAGAGCAGGAACTGCTGAAGTAGGAAGAGGACTCGGTCGATTTATAGTCTGGCTCGTTGGATTGGGAATGTCCTACGATAGAGTACACTTAGTAGGTTTCAGTCTTGGTGGTCACCTTGTTGGAAACGCAGGCAGAGAAACGGGCTCTAGAGTCAGAAGGATCACAGGTAAATAGTAAAACATTTTTAACACAATAATGATGTAGAATTACCAGTATACTTAACGACTATTCCGTTTTAGCTTTGGACCCTGCTGGTCCGTTTTGGGATAATGACTCCAACCGTTTAGTGAGGACAGATGCTCGTTACGTAGAAGTAATTCACACCGAAATAACATTTACTGGATTTAGAGATTTGTGTGGTGACGCTGATTTTTATCCTAATGGAGGATCGAGCATGCCTGGTTGTTCGCTTACAATTAGGCCACTTTCATGTTCCCATGGTCGTGCCTACGAATACATGGCTAGCAGTGTAAAATACAACCACCTCCTAGCTAACCAATGTGGAAGTCTTAATGATGCTATCAATAACAGATGCACAGGATCTCTAAACCCAATGGGTAACAGCGATATCAATAAGTCACGGTAAGAACTAAAAAAATACTTATTATCAAAAACTAGCGGACCCCGCGAACAATGTTTCGCTTTCAAAATTTTTATGCTCCATTTCATAATTTTTTTGTTACATAAGAACTTTCTTCCAGCAGTATCAAAACCACCAGTTTTGTATTTCGTTGTGCTAAGATGACAATCATTTGACATAGTTAAACCAAATTCATTATTAAAAAAATCAGTTAAACACATAAACACACACGAACATTCGCGTAAGCGCCCTGGGCCTTTAGCCAAACGCCACTTTAGCGCTTGTCTACAGAGAGAGTAGAAAACTAAATGTATGGGGATGACACTGACAAGTGTCAAAATTTACGTCAATTTCATATGATTTGGTTTTCTATTCTACAAGTAGACAAGCGCTAAATGGCATTTGGCTACAGATGCTGCGCCGCCTAAACGAAACAGCCGGCACTAGAAAGAGAGAGGGATATTCCCTCTCCTACCCCATGCCAACTGT